GTCTGCCACACCGTGTGCCCACCGCGTGCCCGGCCCCTCCCCACGCCAACCTCACCCGCAGAGTCCCCGTGGCTGGGGCTTGAGACGGGCACAGCCAGTCCCGGGCACGAGGTTTCTGCGGGGACTCTGGGATCCCTGGGCCTTCCCCTCCCACAGCTCCCCTCTGAGGTCACTGAGCTGTGGCTCCAGCCTGCACAACCACACACGCACTCACACATATGCACACTCATACACAACACAACCACACACACGCACTAAACACTCATATCCTTGCATGACCACTCGCTCATATGCGACCCATGACCACACACTCATACACACGTGCACGCACACAGAAGCACACATGCACACACACTCACTCACATGACCACACACACAGACATGCACGCCCGTGCACCCTCATACTTCCTCACATGCACACTCACACACACACGACCACACACACACACACACACACACTTTTGGTACTGAGGATCACCACGGGTGTGCTGCCACTGAGTTGTGTCCCCAGCTCCTTTTTGTCACTGTTGAAGCTTCTTGCTAAACTGCCCAGGCAGGACTTGAATTTGATATCCTCCTGCCTCAGCCTCCCCTCAGGCTGAGGTTGAAGGCACGCACCATCTCCGTGGGCAGAGCTGGGCGGCATCTCCCGCTCCCCCTGCCTGCTCCCTGCTCTCGCAGGAGCACCCCAGCCTCGCCCAGCTGGCCAGAGCCCGGGAATCCCCGCAGAGCTGGTCCCGTGCCGGCTGGGACTCTGGAGATCACTTGGCTCCGCCCGACCTGCTGGGAGCGGCGCCCAAGGCTGGGGCTGCGAGGGCGGAGGCGGTGCTGGGTTTGGCCAGGCCGGGGAGCTGAGCTCTGAGGAAACTGCTGGTCTCGCTCTTCCTGTAGGAGCAGCGCCACGAACCGGCAGGGAGTGGGCGGGACCAGGTGTGTACAGGGTCGGGCACAAGGGCAGACACACGGGGGATGACGGGGACGCTGGCACGTGAGAGGAAGGGGGG